TGCTGCATGCCATGTGGGCTTTGAGGGAAAGACGGCTAGCCAACATCCCTTGGTCTGCCGTTTTATGAAAGGGGCTCGCAGGCTCCTCCCTGTTTCCAGGTCACTGGTGCCCTTATGGGACTTAGCAGTGGTTTTAGATGGGCTCACTCGACCTCCATTTGAACCCCTGGAAGAAGCTGACATGAAACACCTGTCACTGAAGACAGTGCTGTTACTGGCTCTGGCCTCTGCCAAGCGAGTCAGTGACATTCACGCGCTCTCTGTACATCCTTCATGCACTCAGTTTGCCCCGGGGCAAACGAGAGTGATGCTGAAGCCCAACCCTGCCTTTGTACCTAAGGTGGTTGGCTCATGCCCCCCCATTGACATTGAGGCATTTCCTCCGCGGATTACGGATACGGGAGTTTTGAGAAGAATTGAGAATTTCACTCCATTCACACGCTCACACGCCACACCTTGTATTTCTCACGCAGAGATTTCTTTCCAGGGTACCGCCCACCAAGTTGCGCCGCAATTTTGTAAACAAACTAGTACAGAATCACTGTAGCCACGCATCAACCAATCAAAAGAATGTAAGCTGTCGAACAGCCAATTAGAAAATAACATGGCTGTATCCGGGTAGTCACTCACTTACATTTTGCGTGGCTACAGACTGCTCGACGTGGGAGAAGACCATATTTTCAGTAGAGTAAGTAACTTAAAGGGTGGGTGGATTCCCTGACGTAAACGTCAAGATCACCAGCCAATCAGGATTGGCGTAATGAGATTGATGCTTCTGTTTGCATACGCGTTGAGGCGCATCCATAGTGAGACATCTCACTTCATGTTACTCTGAGAACTGGGGTTACGTAAGCAACCTATAGATTTCTTCAAATGCCGTTGTCATGGCAACACAATGCTCGCCATGAAACACGGCTTTCTCATAGCTTCAGTGAAAATACTCCAAACAGCCCAGAACTTCACAGGTTTGGTAACGATGCAGCCATCAATGCATCTAAGGTAGTATGGGGTGTCATCAAATGCCGTTGCCATGGCGACAGACCACTCGCCATAAAATATGATGTCGCTATAAGTCCAATGGACACGATCCAATCGTCCCCCAATCTTCACTTGTATATCACCGGTCCATGCCTCAACAGCTCTACGCCAAATCTGAGATCTCACCATATGCCGTTTCCCTCGCCATAAAACACGATATCGCTATAACTCCTATGAAAATGTTCAAAAAGTGCTCAAACTTCACATGTGTGCTAACAGTCCAGCCGTGAAGACATCTACGGGACATGCCGTTGCCATGGCAACACAATGCCCGCCATGAAACACGGTTTTCTCATAACTTCAGTGAAAATGCTCCAAATGGCTCAAAACTTTGCAGGTTTGGTAACGATGCAGCCATCAACCCATCTAAGCGTATTATGGGATGTCATCAAATGCCGTTGGCATGGCGACAGATCATTCACCATGAAGTTCAAATATTCTGCTGCTTTTCCAAGCCTTTTTACTTTCTTTTCTTCTCTCATCACACATTCAAGCCCCCAATGTTCATGTATTTCAATCTAAATTATTCACTTTCTTCTTACACATTACATTTCAGCATATCAGTTTAGCGTCAGCTTTTCAGCATAAAGCATTCCCACTAGCAATTTCTTCAGGAATTGCATTCTCTAGTGAATTATGATGTCAGATTATATACCCAACTACAGTTATTATACTGAGCTCCACTTTTACCAGCTATGTGACATTTAACTGATGAACTAAAAAATGCAAGAACTATAATCCTTTTTATTATTATTATTATTATCATTACTATTATTACAAAACGTACTAGATATTTTATGGTTTGTTTCTATGCATTTTTTTGTTGTTGCCACGTTTACATTTGTTATGATCTGTCAATGAATCAGTCAAAGTTTTGAAACGGTCCGTTCAGATTTGGTTTATGGAGTATTGCACAATCAGCGCTGACTGTGCTGTAATACGTGGAGGAAACCTAGTGACAAAGTGATGTCTCACTCTGCTGTGATTTCCCGGAACCACAAACACACCACAGTCTGCTCTCTGTGTAACAAACACCACCAAAATCTCTTTGAATTTGGGTATAAATACTCTAATCTCAGTTTATTTAGTGTTTTACACCACAGAATACAATGTTGTTTTATTCCTTGTGGAACGTAACTCAGTATTTTGACTCAATTACTACGGCTTTGTCATACTTTTGGTTTCCTTACTGTTATAAATGTCTAATCCGCTACATTTGGGAGGCAAATATTCTACTTTTCACTGTGCTACATATATTTAACTCTCATAATTTATTTTACACATAAGAGCACATAATATGATGATTATATTATATATTGCAATACTGTACTCATACTAGAGCCAAGTGTCATCGCCATGGTTGAAAGTAACCATCATTGACTGCCAGAAAAAAGAGACCTCAGTGACACACCTGACAACAGAACATCACACTGTCAGTTCTGCCAACAGCAACAAGAGGAAGAGACAAAGCTACACTTCCTGATTCAGTGCAGGAAACAAGGTCTTACTACCAAAATAAAACTCAAAAGACAATAGCAGACCCAAAAACTATGTAGTATTCATTCACTATTAAAAACTGACCCTTACACGGAGGCAGCAATTTCCTATTAGTGTTATTCATTTTAATTATGTTCATCATTTATGTTACATTACGGTTTTTTATATATCTATCATATTATTTCATTTGATTTATTATTTTCTAATTTGTTATTGCTCAAATCTCATGAAAAGACCAAAACAAAAAATGTGTTGCTGGTTCCTTAACAGATCTCATATATATTGTTTCTTTAGATTGAATAATTCTGAACTGGAAAAGCTGGTCCCTGTAGTTTTGAGGAAACTTCACTGAAGCAGTAAATGCTGCATTTCTTGGGAATATTTTCAGATATAATCCACATTGGGTGCTCTAGTTAGTAATAGTGGTAGAATGATGACTGTGTGTGTGTGTGTGTGTGTGTGTGTGTGTGTGTGTGTGTGTGTGTGTGTGTGTGTGTGTGTGTGTGTGTGTGTGTGTGTGTGTGTGTGTGTGTGTGTGTGTGTGTGTGTGTGTGTGTGTGTGTGTGTGTGTGTGTGTGTGTGTGTGTGTGTGTGTGTGTGTGTGTGTGTGTGTGTGTGTGTGTGTGTGTGTGTGTGTGTGTGGTGTGTGTGTGTGTGTGTGTGTGTGTGTGTGTGTGTGTGTGTGTGTGTGTGTGTGTGTGTGTGTGTGTGTGTGACAGTCTCCTTAATATGCCGCTCTATTTAACCTGCCAGATCTCTCTATATGCTTTGCTCGCTGCTGCTATTGCTGCAGCTACCTCTACGTCGCTGCTGCTTGCTGCCCCACCACCACCCCAGCTTCCACCTGTAGGCTCGGGGGGTTAGTTATTTAATCATCACTCATCATGCTATGTATATCTGTGGAGTGATGAGGCCCGAGCCTCAGGGGCGGATCTAGACACATATTCATGGGGTGTGTGATGGAAACTTTACTTATCAATGATCTGGAGATATAATAATAATAAACAAATGGTATTCAGCAATCAAAGTTGTCTTTGTTGTTCTTTATTTGAGCTCAAAGGTATAGTTAAACAGAGTACATAAGCAGTCTGCATAAGTGCACACTGCTGTGTGTGTGTGTTCATTACATTACATTTGGCTGACGCTTTTATCCAAAGCGACTTACAATAAGTACATTCGACCAGGAAGACACAACCTTGAAGAAAACAGAATCATATAAGTACATCAGGTTTCATAGAGCCAAACATTTCAAGTGCTACTCAACTGGCTTTAGGTAAGCCAGTCCTTGTCCAGTCCTGTTCATATTTTATAGGGAAAGGGGTGGGGACCTATGCAGGTGTCAGTTGCTATGCCATTGCCGTGCAGATTAAGGGTTACAATAGTACATGTTGCACAACAGAGTGGGTCAGTTGCCGGTTCTTCTTGGTGAAACAGGAACTGTGCAGGTGTGATAGTGACAGGAAACGTCTGGGTGCGATGGTGTCTGACACCCAGACACAGTTAAAGGTTAAACAAAGGTCTAGCAAGGGACATGTACTGAATACACGTGTCATCATAGAAACTATTGCATTTGGTCTTACCATATAAAGTAACATAAGAAATTGCCACTACAGGTGGCAAGAGATTTTGAGGGGTGGCATCGCCTGGCAGAAGTATATGCTGATTTAATCGCAGTCATGTCAATCAATGTTAACTTGGAAAGCCACAATATTAATATTTTAACTCAATAACATAGGTGACATTATTGTGGCACATCAGTAAAGCCTTACATATACAAATATATAAGGTACCCCTGGACCCCCCTAAGATTTGACGTCCACCCCCGAATTAAAACATGTTCACAATAATGAATACATTTTAAGCCTTTTTATATTAGCTGTCCACCATGTCAATAAGTCTCTCTTTTTGCAGTGTATTGGTCTTTTGTAGAGGGCAGCAAATTGGTCAGAACCGGCCCTGGTGTCATCCCCACAGCACCCCCCATTTGAAACATGTTCCAATCCCATGGCTACGTGTGTGATTGATTCAAAAATAAACTATTGTGTGTGTGTGTGTGTGTGTTTTATGGTAACAAGATATCATGTCAGCCAGTGCAACGGTTTGGCTCATTGATCAGTTTTGAGAATATTGGAGCCCACAAAGAAATTCAACAAGTGTGCTTTTATTTTGAAAGTTTGTTAGGAAGTAGTGTGTTGCGGTGTGTTGTGATTTAGCTGCCACCGTGTACCGTGTTGACATCAGAACAAAGGGCAACAAATAGCAAAGATATTTTAAAGACTGTTTTTTGAAAGCGAACTGCAATAAAAAAAATACTCCATCTCACGTAGGTGCAACAAGTGTGCCTTTATTTTGAAAGGGTGTTTGAGCGGAAGTAGTGTTTTCCGATGTGTTGTGATTTGCCACCGTGTACCATGCTGACAGCAGTGGGGATGACACTGTGGACAACACACACACACCGCTGCTCTATAAAACCACTCACACACTCACAGTGGCAGCACAAGAAGTTTGAAACTTTCTACCTGAACGATGGGAGTCATCATCTCACACATCTTCTCCAGATTCACCTCCAAAACACCTGTCAGGATCTTAATGGGTGAGAATGTCATTTTCTATTTTGTTTATTATTGTTAATATAATTGTTGTTATTATTATCATCGTTGTTGTTGCTATGCTGTTCTATTCAATTAAATTTAATGTTGATATGTTGCTCTCATAATAATAATAATTAAAATAAATAAAAGTAAAGTTAAATGAATTGCTCTTTTCTATGTTTATTCTTATCATTTAAGATTTTATTTTCATTCCTTATTTTTCTTTATTTAAAAAACTTGTAGTTTTCAGCTATTGTTTAGTATTTTTAATTGTGTCTGAGGTGATGTATACTTTTATTTTTTGTCAAAGTAGACACAAAGTCTAGAAGAAGTACATACTAAGTAGTATTAATAGCAGTTGCTAGTGGATGAAGTAATGCCTTTAATTAAGTAAAAGTATTAATAAAGTACAGAAACATTTACTATTTTGTATGTGTGGAGGATGTTGAAGTTTGCTTTTACTTTATAGTAAGTAAAGGTTCTGAATACAGTTTTTATAACAATGTTTTGCCTTTTTGTTGTTGTGCGTGTGTGCGTGCGTGTGCATGTGTGCAGTGGGTCTAGATGCAGCAGGTAAAACCACTCTGCTGTACAGACTGAAGCTGGCCGAAGTCGTCACCACCATCCCGACTATAGGTCAGTGTTTACATGAATTTACGCTTACATATATTGCATATAACATAAAAACGATATCATAAATTAATTGTGTGTGTGTGTGTGCAGGTTTTAACGTGGAGACAGTGGAGTATAAGAACATCAGTTTCACAGTGTGGGATGTTGGTGGTCAGACGATCATCAGACCTCTGTGGAGACATTACTTCACCAACACACAGGTAATACCTACTACTAATACTATTGACTTTTTTAGATCTGTATTTATATATAAGTAAGTTAAAGGTCCCATGACATGGCCATTTCTACTGATCATAATTCCATTGTTGAGGTCTACTAGAATAGATTTACATTGTTCAATGTTCCAAAATCACATTGGTTTCTCATACAGCAACTCTGTATAGTATGTGTTTGATAGCAACCAGAAAATGACACCCCAGTAATGACGAACAGATGAGAATGCTGCGTGGGGTCTGGGTGCCGTGTTAGCGGGACGTTGCGGAGCTCGCTGCTCTGCCCTTTGAGGCTCGAGCTCGAGGAGCGGACAGTGTGAGCTGGATTACTGGTGTCATTTCCTGGTTGCTGCGTGGGGTCTGCGAGACAGCGAGACATCGCAGAACTCAGCCTGAGCACACACACATACACAGCCAGGCTGTTCGCCACACAGTTTGCCACACACTCACAGCCTGAGAAAAGATAAGGCTGAGTGAGTGAGTGAGTGTGTGTGTGTGTGTGTGTGTGTGTGTGTGTGTGTGTGTGTGTGTGTGTGTGTGTGTGTGTGTGTGTGTGTGTGTGTGTGTGTGTGTGTGTGTGTGTGTGTGTGTGTGTGTGTGTGTGTGTGTGTGTGTGTGTGTGTGTGTGTGTGTGTGTGTGTGTGTGTGTGTGTGTGTGTGTGTGTGTGTGTGTGTGTGTGTGTGTGTGTGTGTGTGTGTGTGTGTGTGTGTGTGTGTGTGTGTGTGTGTGTGTGTGTGTGTGTGTGTGTGTGTGTGTGTGTGTGTGTGTGGAGCTCCACGGATTGGTCCATTTGGGTCCATTTCATTTGGTCATCGTTACGTCACTGTAACCAGGAAGAAAAAAGTGGAAAAAGAGAAATGTCCAACGAGGCGTTCTGGGGCAGCACAGACAGGTCTTTTCTGTGTTAGAGTTTTACTCGCTACAGGGTGCACTTTGAGGGTTTGTGACTCTGCAGACCGTTTACATGCAGAAACACCTTCATAACACACAAGGGGACGGGTAATAACCAGAAAAGCATGACATGGGACCTTTAAAGAAACAAAAAACAAGATAACCCAGCAAACAAAGGTGGCTTCATGTTACTGTATTGTGTATTTCAATGAATATATATTTGTTATTCTGTCTGTCTTCAGGGTCTGATATTTGTGGTGGATAGCAACGACCCAGAGAGGATTAAAGAAGCTGCTGACGAGCTGCACAGGATGGTACCCTGCTCACTTTATTTATTTTTTAACACACAAGTTCAGTTTATGCCTGTATGATGTTAAATCTTTATTTTTTTAAATACAATTATTGTATTTATTCTTAATTTAATTTGATCTTTAATTACAGATTTTGTATTTATTGATTTTTAAACTTTAAAGTTATTTCTTAATTTTTCACCTTTTATTCTAAAATGGAACTGTAACACAATTCAATTTCCCCCAGCGGATCAATAAAGTATTTCTGTTCTGCCTGTTATTAAACATAAGAGGAAGATGTTTCTGATTGGTTGTTTTATGTTTTGTGTTGCAGTTGGAGGAGGATGAGTTGAGGGGCGTAGCTGTACTGGTGTTCGCTAACAAACAGGATTTACCCCGAGCCATGTCTGGCAGTGACATCACCGAGGCTCTCCGCCTATCAGGAGTCTCTCAGCCGGTGAGTGTTACTTTACCTGTTGGAACATCAGATCTGATGCAGTGCGTCCCATTTAAAGATGCAAAAAGTAAATCATGGAAATGAATGATTGTACTTATAGCTATATAAACAATTGTTTAACTTTTTCTCTTCCACATTTGGTGAATTAAACGTAAAGTTAAAAAAGGGTTTCAACCTGAAAATAATTTCAAATATAAGTGAAATGTATGACTGTATGTCTGAAGTAAAACAAAAAGTGTACTCAATACATTACACCGGGAGGATTTTCTTTCACAATCCGGGTCAATGATTGGCATCAACATTTATTTTAATGCTAAAAATGTTGTGCACTAAACAAGGAAAATGAATATGCACCACCAAACATTAGAACAGGCTTCACTCTGGTGGAAAGTAGTACAAAGTAAACATGTTCAAAGTAAAGACTCCGGATGTAAAGCCTGAGATATAAATATGTTATACTGTAATGGCCATTGGGATTAATAAGTGTGGTTTTGATTTGTCCTTAATAGTCTAAATGAATATATTTGGGTAATGCAGTTTAATATCGACTTATTACTTTGAGCTGATTGAAATTGAAAAGAAAATACAAAAATATCACCGGTGAGTTACAAGTGTCATAACATTTTTTGTTGTGTTTTGCCGGCAGCGCAGGACACAGCGATGGCGTTTAAGTGATTGTGTTCATGAAAATCTGATTTATATTAACCTGCAGCTTATTTCTGTGTGTGTGTGTGTGTGTGTGTGTGTGTGTTGTGGTGTGTGTGTGTGTGTGTGTGTGTGTGTGTGTGTGTGTGTGTGTGTGTGTGTGTGTGTGTGTGTGTGTGTGTGTGTGTGTGTGTGTGTGTGTGTGTGTGTGTGTGTGTGTGTGTGTGTGTGTGTGTGTGTGTGTGTGTGTGTGTGTGTGTGTGTGTGTGTGTGTGTGTGTGTGTGTGTGTGTGTGTGTGTGTGTGTGTGTGTGTGTGTGTGTGTGTGTGTGTGTAGTGGTCTGTGCAGGCATCCTGTGCTGTCAGTGGGTCTGGTCTGGTGGAGGGTCTGGACTGGCTCTCAGACCAGATCCTGAAAAAGTAGACGCAGATGTGAACTCTCAAACAGGAAGTCTGGAATGAACCTGGACGAGGCAGAAAGTCCTGGAGAAAAATAAAGAATCCCTCACATAGCTTTTCAAAATCACTTATCTGAAACTTTTAAAGAGGCTCTATCATGCTATTTGGGCTTTTCCATTCCCTGTAGTGTGTTTTAAAGGTTTTTGTGCATGTAAATGGTCTGCAAAGGCTAACATCCCAAAGTTCCTGGGATTTTACTTCTGTAACATAGTGACATCACTACATAACACTCACGCTTCTATTGGCTAGCGTTCAAACACATTGTACGTGAAAGGCTAATAGGTGGGACATTTCTAAGTGGTTGACCAATCACAACAGAGCCGGCCAGCTAACCAATCAGAGCAGACTGGGCTCTGGTTTCAGACAGAGGGTGAAAAGAGGTGCTGCAGCACAGGCAGTGTGAGAGAAATAAAGAGCTGTTTGAACATTAAAGCATGGAGACATGTCCCAGTGGAGACACAACATAACATTTGAACCTGAAGATGACAGAATACGATCCCTTTAAAAGCAGTGCACATTTTCTATTTCAATATCTCAATCTGCTTTTACACTACAATGGAGTAAAAAGGTTATTATCTGTGCATGTTCAATCAACTCAGATTTATGATGTAAACGTTGTTTTTTCTATCACAAAAGTGAACGCATAGTTTGTGGCAATGAAAATACATTTCGGACGTAAAAATCAATAAAGCAAAAAGTGCAATTCAATAGTACATGATACATAATAGTGCAAGTAAAAGACAGCAATTCCAAAGATATATACATACAAATTGAATAAGATTGAACAATGTTAAATGAAATGCTCTTAAGTAGGATACATACTGTGTATACTGTAGTATTATATACAAATGTGGATATATGAAATTAAGATGTGTGTATTATAAAATATTGTCCTGCATACTTTATCATTTTCCAAGGAAGGCGTTGACGTGTTATATTGTTGCTACTTGGATCATCAGCTCAGGAAGCCCTTTTCTATTTTCCACGTTATGTTAGTAAATCTTATTGATAATGTATACTTTTAAATGGTGACGTTAATATTTATTCTATAATAAAGTTGGTCTTATGACAGATTGTGTGTTTGTTTGATTTTAAATACAGACTGTATAGTAATCCTTTGAAAGGAATAGTTTTAATTTGAAATATTACATAACTAAATTCTCCCAATCCCATGAGATACATTAAGTAATAAATAAAACCCAAAGGTTCGTTTGATGTGAAAAACCTCATCAGATGACACAGGCGGGTGGAGTTAGTGCTTTTATTTATCACTGAAAAGCCTTTTTATTTATTTTATTGTTCATTACACGGAACAATTTCCACTAAGACATATTTACAGTTTAACATCATCGTGTTTTCCCGCGTCAGCAAAGTGCAGCTCCACTTCAGCTTCTTCACCAGGTAATAGCAACAAAACACTGCCCAAAGGAAAAATAACTCAAATCAAATAATCATCAGTAACCGTTTACTTAGGCTCCCCACAGGAGGCGGTGACCACTAACTTTAATAATAATTTATTCTTCCTAAATGCTGATACATACTTACAACATATTGCTGTGAATCATTCTGGATAAAAAGGCAGATTCATGAAAAAACCCTGTGAAAAACAGAAAAGGCCCCAAATGACAAACATTTAGTAAAAGCACAGATAAATATTGTGACGTCAGGAGAAACTGACTCAGCTCAGGAATTAGCAGGAAGTTTGTGTTTAAATGTTAGATTTCCTTCAAAGTTTCTGAATGGGTAAAACGTACCAGCTTATCAGAAGACAAAAAAAAGGGACGAGACCTTTTAATAAAAAACTTGTGCTTTCAGTTCCCAGATCCATCTTTAGGAGAAAGAAAGAAGAGCGAGGCATCTGCGGCTCTCCTGTGATATGGTCATTAGAGCACTACTGTCATGCAACTAGTCATTTCGTTAGAGGCAGATAGGTTACTTCTGGAGGCAAAATCTTCATATAAAGTGTTGAATATCAGATTTCCTTTGCAGTCTCCTGTGCCTCCAGTCCAACATGCTAATGCACATCCCATAAAAACATGACTAATGATATAGTTCGTTTTTCTAGATTAACCACAAACCAAACCTGAAACACTGAAAAGGAGGAATTGTGAAACATAACACAGTTCATGGACACTGAAGCCTGTTAAAAGGTGCTTTTTTAAAAATTATTTTCTCCTAAATAAAAAAGGGGTTTTGGCCAAAAACGTTCACTATGGATAAAGTCAAAGGAGCATTTGACCTACATTACTATGATAAAAGGAAAAAGTAGTGCTGGAATTTCACTGGGTGATATTTTAAAGAGATACGTTTGTCTTGAATAATTTGCATACAATTGCAAAAATAACTGGAAGCATGGATCTGTGTTTCCATACAGAGACCTGATATGATGATTTCACGATCAATTAACTCAAACATCAGGCACAAACTGGCCTGAAAGTGTTGGTATTTATTCTATAAGTAACTTATGAACGCCAGTTTGTGTGTATGTTTTACTTTAAAGGTGGGGTAGGTCATTTTGGAGAAACCAGCTCGAGTGCGCTAGAATTTGAAAATACACAACCGGAAGAAATCGGCCACTTCCTTACAGAGCCCCTCCTCCAACACACACGAACGCGCACATGACCAATGAGGGCACGAGATAAGTTTGTGCACAGATGGAAGGCTGACAGGCAGGTAGGCCATCCAGTTATTTTAGCCGGGCCGGCTCAGATGATTGGTCGTGCTTTTTACAGAGCTACGGCTTCCAGAGATGACATTTTTTTATGGATTTATTGTCAAAGCACTTCAGATATTCATTGCTATCGGGATGTTAAGAGCATTCCATGGAATATAACAACAAGTGTATCTCGAGCCGGTTTCTCAAACTTACCTACCCCACCTTTAAATATAATAATAATAATCGATTTAATTTGTTAGCGCTTTTACAGGTGCACAAAGACGCTTTACATATATAGTGAAGAGAAAATAAAATAAAAATAAAATATAGACTGAACTTTAACAATTGTTAATAATCCTTTCAACGGAATCATTTTAATTATCATTTACCCAGGGACTTCCAACCGGGATGAAAAATAAAAAAAAGGTTATATATCGACAAAACAACATTGATGTGTTAATATGAAATCTTTGAGACGCAACTTTAACTAAGATTCTTGTTTTGTATTTGTGTATTTTCCACCAAATTCAGGCCAATTTTGCAATAAAACCAACACATCGATGCTGAATGGATGATGATGTAGACCTCTGAATGTGTTTCTCTTTAAGAAAGGAGAAAAATAAGCTTGGAAGGATGCTTCAAAACAAACAGGAAGGACAAAATAAGACTTCCTCTCACACTATTTCACCACTGAGGTGTTCGATGTCCTCAGAGAAACCTTGGATATCTGGCTTTTCTCTCTCACAGATCCCAAACCACTTTGTCTTAGCTGTTAGCCCTTTCTTTAAAATAAAATAAAAATCAGAACCTGGCAGGTTAAATCCATATTTGCATTTTTTTCTGGAAAGTGAAGCCAGTATAAAAAGCTGCGTTATTTTACACACAGAAGAATAAAACACATAAGTCTGTGACGAGACGTTTCCCCTCCACATCTTGTAATGTGCGTTTAGTTTAGTCCAGCAGAGAGGGAGCGCTTGCTTTGCACTCCCAGGCAGCCTGGGAGGGCGGGTGGTGTTCCCCTCCTCTGATTCCTGAGCTGTTGCTTCGATATTACCACCTGGGAGTCAACTTAAAACACGCTCCGTTAGCTCTCGTTAGGCTTCAGACTCCCCCTTCTTCTTCCCCTCCTCTCCGGCGTCGCTGTCCTCTGATTGGCTGTTGCTGAGCACGAGGAACTGCTCGTCAGCGGCGGGTGGGTTGCCGGGGCGACTCGAGGCGGCGATCAAACGGCTCTGCTCCTCCAGATCCTGCAGGACAACAAACACAGCTCTCAGGTTAGAGATCATGACGATAGCGTTGTGAAAATACAATGCAATTACCGAGCTTACATTATTCATATGTTCTCCATCTTCCATAGAAACAATTATTAGATCTGTCTATGAAACAATCTGCAGACTAAATGATGGTTAGTTCATTTGTGAAATAACCTGGAGAGGCCACATGTAAATAAAAACATAAATATAGTATACTTTATAATATTGTGTTGAAATGTTAGATTTCTTTTGAACGGATATCAGAGCAGAGGAAAGCATTTCAGAAGACTAAAGATTTTTTCATTCAGTTTCCAAAATGGAGAAAAGTCAACAAAACGGTAAAAGTGTGATTTGTGTTTATAAAATCATATCCACAAATTAAATATCTAACACTTTTGTGAAATTACATTAAAAAGTTCAAGCTTACATTATAGTAGATTCCCATAGGATTTCCCATACCAAACAATTATCTGATTTATTTAGAAAAGAACCAACAGAATAATAACAAAAAAAGTTAATTTCATGTAAAACGTAGAGGGTATATCTATTTCTGCGCAGAAAAGGTGACCTATCCTATCCAGAATAACCTTTCAGTTGAGGCTACAGGTCACCTTCTCGATCTGCTTCTGCTTGCTGAGCTCCTCCTGCTGTTTCTCTTTGGCCTTGTCGGTCTCCTTCCTCTTCTCCACGGCCTTACGGTCCTGAACAACAAACACAGCGAATATTATTCCCCTCCACAACACCACCTGAAGACAGCAGCATCACAGTGTAGTGAGAGAGATTATCTTCAGTGTATTGAAGTTTTTAGTCTCACCATCTCAGAGTGGAAGGCTATCTGTTTTGCCAAGCCAACGCTGTCGCAGATCTGAAAGAAATGAAGAAGAAGAAAACGTGTCAGACAGACACAGTGGTGGACAATAACAGATGGATAGACAGACAGCGGACGACCTTCTCTCCGTCGTTGTTGGACTCGAAGATGTAGCAGACGGCTCGGCTGTCCCCCGGCCCGCCTGCAGGCTGCAGGACCAGACCAAACAGCCTCTTGTTGTCCTGATGGGAGGAACACTGGAGCACCGTGCAGAGAGGGAACTGCAGCAGGACAGAGGAGGAGGACAAACGAGTACAAATCATTGGAAATAACAATGTTGTAACCTAAAACTATCTGAACTATCTGAACAGAGAGCCTCTCACCCTGAGTCGAGTGACTTGCGTCTGAGGATCAATGAGTCTGAAACAACAAACAAACACATGTTACTGCACAGAAAAAGTGTTTCTATGTAAGAAATGAGACACATTAGCCATTAATGTCCTCTCTTCAGTAAGTAATGCTTCCATTATCATTGGCACTTCTAAATGTTAGTATTCAGGAAAATAAAACATGTTGATGGAAACATTAGCACAAGCATAAAAGGTTCAGAGAGAAAAGTCCACTCAGTGCAGACGCAGTTTATATGTTTTTGTTTTAAACATTAAATAAACAGATCTATTCATTTAGTAATCTTTTACTTTTTTATTTTGAGTTCCACCACAATAATTCCAATAATTTTCGTAAAATATATATTTGTTAGATGATGAACATACAAATATGGTGGCCATATTTATTTGTATGAACAACACAGAATGTAGTTCTTGTGTGAATGGGTGTTGCGACATGATTATTCATTCCCAATATTTTTTTATTTAAAAGGTCCCATGTCATGCTTTTCTGGTTATTACCCGTCCCCTTGTGTGTTATGAAGCTTTTTCTGCATGTAAACGGTCTGCAGAGTCACAAACCCTCAAAGTACACCCTGTAGCGAGTAAAACTCTAACACAGAGAAGACCTGTCTGTGCTGCCCCAGAACGCTTCGTTGGACATTTCTCTTTTTCTTCCTGGTATCAAGTGACGTAACAACGACCAAATGGACCAATCTGTGGAGCTCCTCACACACACACTCACTCAGCCTTATCTTTTCTCAGCCGCGTGGATCTCCACTCACAGTTCGCCACACACTCACGTCTGTGTGCTCAGGCTGAGTTTCGCCGTGTCTCGCTGTCTCGCAGACCCCACGCAGCAACCAGGAAACGACACCAGTAATCCAGCTCACACTGTCCGCTCCTCCCAGCAGCGAGCCCCGCAATGTCCCGCCAACACGGCACCCAGATCCCACGCAGCATTCTCATCTGTTTGTCATTACTGGTGTCATTTTCTGGTTGCTACCAAACGCCATTGTAACACATAACCACACATCAGAGCACAGTGGGCTCATAGGGGGGGGGGAGGAGCACCAACAAGCCGTTTAGGACAGAGAGTGATTCCACATACTTTACAGAGATGCTGTATGAGAAACCAATGTGAGTTTGGAACATTGAACAATGTAAATCTATTCTAGTAGACCTCAACAATGGAATTATGATCAGTAGAAATGGCCATGACATGGGAGCTTTAACACCATTTTCGGAGTAAAGGGAAAAAGTAATTCCCTTTTTTGTGTAGGCACATTGTAGCTATAATGAACCCTGCAGCCTATAGAGGGGGCTCCTTAGACTGAAAACACTCAGACACTAGAGCTCAGTCCTACTTGAGGCAGTCGCAGGTGACCAGCAGGTGGGACTCGGTCATCCTGAAGATGTTGTGGATGGCTCTCGCTGCCAGGATCTGCCTCATGGTCTCTGAGATGATGTCCACTGACTCGGGGGTCTTCACCTCCATGGAGCCCAGGAAGCGAACGATGAAGAGCTGGTGGAGGATCGAGTCTGGACAGCAGACAATAACACTTCCATCACACACCAATCAATTTCACTGAGAAAACTCAAGGACGTGAGCTGCTTTTATCCAAAGTTAACCAGACAAACATGTACTTAAATAACCAAGTTGTCCTTATCTGAAGCATTTGTTTTATAAAACTAAAACATTGTGTTACAACAAATACGTTTCACTTTAGACCAAGATTATTATCGAGAATGGCCAATGGTCTCTTTGAGGCCTACAAGGGAATAAAACCCTCTTCAACCACAAATCTTAGTTAAATTAGATGTTCTTTGCATCTGGTCCACAAGGGGCAGTAGTGAGCCAATACAAGTTTGTCTGACAAGTATAGCAGAGAAGACAACACTTTCTAACTTGCTTAAAAATGTACCAATAGATACAAAATAGAGGAAACATTTTTTTATTTTATTTGAATAGTATGAAGTATAGACCGATGTTACCTTCACTGTCCTCTGAAGTGCTGTCCCCTGACTCTCCAAACGGGTTACTCCTCCTGTGGACAAACACACAAAATCAAACACAACCCTTTTTTTTATCGATCTGGTGCTGAGCAGAATTTATAAGTCGATGTCCCATACCTGCCGGACTGTGCTGCCGTCTTGCTCTGTCCCGAGTTCTCCTCGGTGACGGGGGATATGATGTCAAACTGGATTGGTGTTTCCGGGGCGACCAGGGCGTCCAATGAGAGCACAGAGAGGGCCGGCGACAGCTCGGAGCCGACAGAGCTGATGCTGCTAGCTCGGCCCGCACGCCCTTTACTGGAATAATGACCAAGAGAGATTAATGAAGTTATCGGTGGAGGTCCAGAGGTCCTACCACACTACTTTAGGATTTTGGAAGGTTAAATGTTATCACCAGAAATAAAAAGCTAACCTTAGGTGATAAACAAACTACAGCAAGGTTGCATGACTTCATATCACCACCGCTTAGCTAAAGGTGGGTCATGCTTGGTGTAATGATGATGAGCAGTCTCATTTAGACAGTTCTTAGCAACCGCCGTTTTTGGGGCAAATGTATTTTATGTCATAGAAACATTTGTATTGGTAAAAGTGTATTAACAACAGACATTATTTCAGGCGTTTAACCAAAACCAGATTAAAAAAACCATTGGCTTTGAGACCTGATAAAGGAAAATGCTAACAAAAAACTAACTCCAAGTTTTAGCACTAATTTGTGCAGCTCTGTATATCTGGAAGCGAACAGGTTCTGAGGTTGTTGATCAAGCATTGTAGTTTTTGTAGGGATATGTGTTGACACTGGGGGCCTTTCTACATCATGTAAGACACACACACCTGCTGGGTCTCATGCTCTCGTGCCTCTGCTGGAAGGACGGCGACGGCGTCACAGCTTCAAGAGCTGATTGGTTCACTCTAGCAGCAAGCTCCTGCCAATGGGAAGAAAGAACAGTCAGCATCAAGCATCAGGAACATGCAGTGGGGCAAAAAAGTATTTAGTCAGCCACCAATTGTGCAAGTTCTCCCACTTAAAAAGATGAGAGGCCTGTAATTTTCATCCTAGGTATACCTCAACTATGAGAGACAGAATGGGGGGAAAGAATCCAGAAAATCACATTGTCTGATTTTTAAAGAATTTATTTGCAAATTATGGTGGAACATAAGTATTTGGTCAATAACAAAAGTTCATCTCAATACTTTGTTATATACCCTTTGTTGACAATGACAGAGGTCAAACGTTTTCTGTAAGTCTTCACAAGGTTTTCACACACTGTTGCTGGTATTTTGGCCCATTCCTCCATGCAGATCTCCTCTAGAGCAGTGATGTTTTGGGGCTGTCGCTGGGCAACACGGACTTTCAACTCCCTCCAAAGATTTTCTATGGGGTTGAGATCTGGAGACTGGCTAGGCCACTCCAGGACTTTAAATGCTTCTTACGAAGCCACTCCTTTGTTGCCCGGGCGGTGTGTTTGGGATCATTGTCATGCTGAAAGACCCAGCCACGTTTCATCTTCAATGCCCTTGCTGATGGAAGGAGGTTGTCACTCAAAATCTCACGATACATGGCCCCATTCATTCTTTCCTTTACACGGATCAGTCGTCCTGGTCCCTTTGCAGAAAAACAGCCCCAAAGCATGATGTTTCCACCCCCATGTTTCACAGTAGGTATGGTGTTCTTTGGATGCAACTCAGCATTATTTCTCCTCCAAACACGTCTAGTTGAGTTTTTACCAAAAAGTTCTATTTTGGTTTCATCTGACCATATGACATTCTCCCAATCCTCTTCTGGATCATCTAAATGCTCTCTAGCAAACTTCAGACGGGCCTGGACATGTACTGGCTTAAGCAGGGGGACACGTCTGGCACTGCAGGATTTGAGTCCCTGGCGGCGTAGTGTGTTACTGATGGTAGCCTTTGTTACTTTGGTCCCAGCTCTCTGCAGGTCATTGACTAGGTCCCCCCGTGTGGTTCTGGGATTTTTGCTCACCGTTCTTGTGATCATTTTGACCCCACGGGGTGAGATCTTGCGTGGAGCCCCAGATCGAGGGCGATTATCAGTGGTCTTGTAGGTCTTCCATTTTCTAATAATTGCTCCCACAGTTGATTTCTTCACACCAAGCTGCTTACCTATTGCAGATTCAGTCTTCCCAGCCTGGTGCAGGTCTACAATTTTGTTTCTGGTGTCCTTTGACAGCTCTTTGGTCTTGGCCATAGTGGAGTTTGGAGTGTGACTGTTTGAGGTTGTGGACAGGTGTCTTTTATACTGATAACGAGTTCAAACACGTGCCATTAATACAGTTAACGAGTGGAGGACAGAGGAGGCTCTTAAAGAAGAAGTTACAGGTCTGTGAGAGCCAGAAATCTTGTTTGTTTGTAGGTGATCAAATACTTATTTTACAGAGGAATTTACCAATTCATTCATTAAAAATCCTACAATGTGATTTCCTGGATTCTTTCCCCCCATTCTGTCTCTCATAGTTGAAGTGTACCTAGGATGAAAATTACAGGCCTCTCTCATCTTTTTAAGTGAGAGAACTTGCACAATTGGTGGCTGACTAAATACTTTTTTGCCCCACTGTATATGTTATGTTATTTTCACTTTCTATGTATTTATATTTTAAGTAATTATTTTGTCACAGTCCATACAATATATAAATAAAATAAAATAAAAATGAACAAATGATCAATCCATCAAATCATCTATAAATGTGAATTTATATTTTGGTACTAGCTGCCAAAGTCTCCACCATGATCTGTGACTAGTAGGGGTGTAACGGTTCACAAACATTTCGGTTCGGTACGTACCTCGGTTTTTTGGTCACGGTTCGGTTCGGTACAGCAGAATTTTTTTTTCACAAAACAAAACATATATATATATTTTTTTTATTATTATTAAACTGTGAATAATGTATTCACTCAAATAAATACAAAATATAATAAAATAAACATTAAGGTGCAGCATTTCGATGAACTGAAATAATCTGTATTTGAACTTTACTGTACTAGTACTCACAAAACATAAACTATTAGTTTTGGGTTTTTAATTATTATTAAACTGTGAATATTCACTCAAATAAATACAAAATATAATAAAATAAACATTAAGGTGCAGCTTTTCGATGAACTGAAATAATCTGTATTTGAACTGTACTGTACTAGTTCCTAAGCAGCCAGCTTGACATTAGGACTTGCTTGTCATTGTATTTTCATGTTTTTTTAAAGAAAAATGAACTTGTCCACATTGCTTGCCGAAAGGGCAGATCTGCTGGCACTAACAATGTCTCCTGCTGTGGAGAACACCCTCTCTAGGGACAGAGGTAGCAGATACAGCCAGGTAGCGCTTTGCTAACATGGCAACATAAGGATATTTGGTGTTTGTAATAGCTTTGGCTCGGTCTGAACTCTCTGCGAGTGGTGGAGGCTTAAATGCTAGCGGGAGTTGGGTTTGCACTTCAGTCTTTTTTCTTTTGGTACCGGTGATATTCACGTTCGGGTGATGCCTTTTCAAGAGTGTGCAAGTGTGATGTATTGCCAGCCGCGTAACCAATTTTAGTTGAACAATGCCGACAAACAGCTTTGGTTCGGTCCACCTGTCTTTGTCCGTCATCCTTGTACGTAACTGCGAAACCAAAATGTTCCCAAACCGGAGACTTCAATGATGCTGGAGGATTTTCGAGCTCAACTTTATCTGCGTTCGCCATTAATTTTCGACAGTTCCTCAAATTACTGACTACATTTGAACGCATCCCTCTGACCAGCTCTCATAGTATGCCTCTCATCCAATGAAATGACTTGCTCGCTCTATGACGCGTTGAACCCAATGTGAGCAAATTACTCTGAATGCTGCGACGCAGCACCTGAGATTACTTCCAAAAAGTTGTTCACGTTCTCAATTTTTTACGTTTAACGTTATATTCGTTCGGTACACTTCGGTACACACCTGTACCGAACCGAAGGGCCCGTACCGAATAATTTCGGTACGGGTACGTGTACCGTTACACCCCTAGTGACTAGGTAAATGAGAGTAAATGAGAGCAAATGAGAGTAAATGAGGGACACACAGACCTCTGCGTTCTCACTCAGGTAGATCCTTTTGGAGATGTTGTTGATGGTGGAGATCCACTGCAGGAGGAAGCAGCAGGGAGACGAAGTGAGTACAAACAGTCAACACAGAACAGGTCACATGACAGAAAAACGTTTTACCTCATCGCAGTCCCTCCTGCTCTCCGACTGCAGCGTCACCACCCTGACAGAACGGAGAAATCAGTTTAATACAGTGGCATTTATTCATGGTGGAAAAATGGAAGAAAAGGGAGCCCTCTCACTTCTTGCCATCAAAGGAAGTGACCTGGAAGCAGAAGCGGCGGTCGTCGCAGTCCACCGCCATGACGGAGCAGTTGTCCAGGTCGGTGACGAGCCCCCCCGCCACCTCTCCGCGGCCCTGCTGCATCAGGTTACCGCCCTGCGTGAAGAAGTACTGACGCTCCCAGGACGACGACACCAGCCCCGTCTTACTGAGAGACACACACAGAAGAGCTGGTTTAAAACACACACAAAAAAAAGATGTCCAGATGTTGCTAACAATGATTGAACTTATTGACAAAAGACAGAAAATTAATTGTAAAAAATTATTTTATTATGTTTCCACAAGGATTATTTACATTTTCTGTAAATAAAAACGTATGAAATGAAAATGATTTCAAAGATCAGATTATAATTATTCACAGAGGAGCTTTGATCAGAAAATGTAATAAAAATAAAATGATATATATATATATATATATATGCATGTGTCCTACTTGCGGATGTGCAGGTAGCCCTGTTTCCTGGTCAGGTTCCTGCAGACAGGTGAGTGGGCGGGGTCAGGGTCACATGGTACGTACAGAGGGTCACATGATCGTTCCATCTCCTGGATCGTCTCATGCATCTGCCCGACCTCCGTCTCCATCTCCCGACGCACACTGCAAACACACACACATACAATTAAGTCACATGTTCACACTTATTTTTAACATCTTATCAGTACATTTCATTTAGCCGATGCTTTTATACAAAGCGACTAAGTGCATCAACCACTAAGCTTCTTATTCAGAACAGCAAGAATCCTGCAAGTTTCTTACTTCTGGACGCTGGTTCCTATTGTTCCCAGGAAGTCCTCCCACTGCTGGGTGAGATTTTCTGAACCCAGCTTAAAGAAACTGATCTGGACCGGGGGAAAAAACAGTCAAAGATAAATCGGCAGGTTTGTTAACAGCTCTTAAAACATCAATTGGACATTTAGCTGGTTCATTTTAACACTTCAGCCTCATTTTGGAACAAAGACCAAAAATGTTGCCTCAGAGCTGCCAACCTGTGTTTGGATATATATCTAAACACACAGTGTATGTGGAATGCATCATTCATCTGTTGTGTTTTGATCAAGCGATGCATCATGTGATGATCATGAGTTTTTTTTTGCGTGTGTGTTGTAGGACCAAGGAATAGGTTTGGGTCCCTCTGTTAATGCTGGTAATTGTGGGCGTGTGTGTGGTGTGAAGGTGAGTGTGTACGTCACCAGTTCTTAAGATGGAGTAATTAAAATCACCTGCTTACCGTATTTTTTTGCTACATTATTACGACATTATCAAAGAACATAAAGGATGTTTTGTTTATTTTCAATGTGTGTGTGTGTGTGTGTGTGTGTGTGTGTGTGTGTGTGTGTGTGTGTGTGTGTGTGTGTGTGTGTGTGTGTGTGTGTGTGTGTGTGTGTGTGTGTACCTGTGCCTGCATGTATCCCAGCAGCGGCTCCAGCAGCGCTGTCTTCTTCTTGTACTGCAGCGTGTTGAGCGAGCAGAAGTAGTGCATCATGGTCTGGTGCTGTTTCTTGCGGGAGGTGTAGACGTCCTCCACGGCCTCCGCCCGCAGCTGAAACACACAGGACTTTCTTCTAAAACCAGTATCAAGGTTTTTATCATGAGAGATCTTATCCTATGCTTCAGGTCAATATAGTCCTATTATGCCATTTCAATATATGGCCTTTTTGTGAGGCAGCTGCTGGTTTAGTTACTTTATAGAAAATAAAATCTACCTGCAGGAACTTAACCCTTGCAGCAAATATAGAAGGGAGTTTTTACATCCTTGCAACTGCATCCCCAGTCAACTCTTGGACAAAAGACACTTGGGCAATGGTTTCTTTAAGATCTGCAAGTTGAGTTTCACAGAAATGAAAAAAATATATATAAGAATCTTTTTTTGTTTCTATTGCAAAATGTGTCTCTGCAATTGAAAGGGTTTTTTACCAACATTTTAAATTGAGCTTTTTTTAATGAAAGGAAAAGGAAGGAATATCCTCTAGAAATTAGAAACGTATAAACTCAGGACAACTATCTATATAAACTCAAAGAGTCAGAGTTTTATTTGTATTTACTATCTTTTGAGTGAACTTCTGAGTCAATTATAAAATAAAGTCATATCTATACGAATATTGCTTATTTGAATATTCAATTAGTGACTGATGAACGTGATGTGAGGAGGGTTGCTTACCTTGTCGTTGTCTCTCTTCTTGGACAGACGGCTGAATCTGTTCATGGCTACATCATGATCTGCAGACACAAACAGGAAGGGAAGACCTTTACACATCTTTATCTTTTCACATTAACCAGTAAGTACATTTAAGATTTAGATCATTTGTCAGTTACAATCAAAAACAAGATGAATGTTCCTTTAAGCGTAGCTACATGTGGCGAATGTGTGGAGCCAGAAGAGTCATACTGACAGAGAGATCATGTGCCCATCGAGTTCTGTTAGTGTACGTGTTACTTTGTCATTGTGATGATATATATATATATATATATATATATATATAATATCTTCATTCAAATCTAAATAGATTGCCCTCCACATAGACGAATAAAATATGTTCAAGAACAATATTGTTTTAAGTAAATTGTGAAATTAAGATGCCAAATATGTCTATGTAAGATTTTGTAGGTTTTTCAGATTATATTAAACACAAAATAGGCAATTTACAAATTCTTAGCCTCCGTAGTTATCGAGAAATAATAACTACAAATAAATTGCATTAAAATGTCCTCTGGTCAGAAAGAAAGAGAAAATATTAACCAGACGTTATTTTTTTAATAATGAACAAAAAATAATAATTGGTTCCTAATCTACCTGATTGACTTACTTACTGATCTGCAAGCAGACATCGTGGGTGCATGGTTTAAATATGCGCATCACAGCTTAAAGCACTTACTGATCTTTTCTTTTCTTTTTTTAGACCGATATTCATTAAGATAATCATTTGACTGAAAATCAGTAGGAGTGTTGCAAGAGTAGCTAAGAGTTATGTGGGGTTTAGGATGGTTATTTTTAATATACTGAATATTAACTGTAGCTTGGTGTAGAAGTATAAAACTTACCATCACTGGATATTTGGAAGACTTCCTTCAGAGTGAGGATCTCTGGAGAGAGACAAAAAGAAAATCATAAGCACCACTGAAGGAAAACTGTATATCTTAGACCTCACGGTGCTTCCAATTGTTTGGGAAAAAGTCATTTTGCATAAGACTTTTCACTTTTTAAACAAGAGAATGCCAACAGCGCACAAAACCAGGCTTATACAAAAAGTGTGTTCCCAGATTAGTGAGCAAAAACTTTAAAAGGCAAACTAAATCTTTTTCCTCTTACCCGTATCGTCATTTCTCTTGATTGGTTTGTTGTGAGTTGCTGAGGGTTAGAGATGTTTGCTCTTTTGCTTATACAATGGCAATAGAAGGAACTCTATTGCCAACTCAGCTTGTCTATGTCAAAGTGCAAACAAATTGATTGGAAACTAAACAGCTACTATGTCTCTTACCAAAAATCATGACCTAAAATCTGAAAACAATTCACAGACCTTGTTGTGGGGAGTTGCAAGTAGGTACTTATTTTCTTTCTACCTAACTACACCCACCCTCCGTGTTACCGCGCAGAAGGAATTGTACATCTACTCATGGACGAGAGGCACTTGCTTACTTATTGACGGGTGAGGTTTGGAGTGTTAAAATGTTTTTGTTGCTTTTCTGCCAGTCAGTTCTATCAAATATCAAGATAAGGTCTACACTCAATACCTCCAACACTCGGAACCTAACAACAACAAAAATATCTAGATTGATAAATTGCATTACAGGTCGTAGGAAAAAGAAAAAACAATTGTCTTTGAGGCAAAAAGTCCAGTTTCTAATGTGACAAATATGCTAAGAACAGTGGTCTCTCTCTGAGGTACTGCACACGTTTCCTACCCTTCAGGTCTCTCTCTTTAAACTGAGTGATGGGAAACATCATGGCATCTGCAAGCTGGGTGGACAAGACAGCATGACAGGAACTCAACTACAGAGAGAAAGAGAAAGACAGAATGGAAATTGTCACATCCTGGTGAGTTAAATCTTCCAGTGTGGCAGCTGGTGAGTTTGTATTTTCTCACCTCATCGATGACTTTTGCAAACTGCTGCAGGGTGGAGCTCATCACCTCGTCATCGCCCCCTAGAGGAAAACGCTGCAGACGACAGCAACAACATGGAGGAATGGATTAGATTGATTTCAGTGAGGAGAAATGCGTCCCTGCTGAAGCAAACCAGCATGCAACGCACAGCAGAGGAAACTGGGGATTTCTCGTCACAGAACAAGTGATGGTTAAATGTTGGCCTGAAGTTGTCTCTAGGGAAAAGGTCGTCAAAACAATAACAAAGTCTAGTGTCATAGGACAGGTGTCTATTTTTCATGGGGTCTTTGGCTGGTGGTGTGGCCTACCTGTTTGTCGTACTCTTTCAGCAGTCTGGAGGTCAGGTGTGTGGCAGCACTGAGCTCGTTCTGTAAGAGAAAACAGGGCGGAGTCACAGCTGGAGACACACTTTCCCATCAGCTGCTCTATCAACACCTGTGAATCATGCCAGTGTGTGTGTGTGTGTGTGTGTGTGTGTGTGTGTGTGTGTGGTGTGTGTGTGTGTGTGTACCTGTGCATCATAAATCCTCTGCATGGCCTGGTAGAGCTGACTGCAGTAGTTGGACATCGCTGCAGTGTCCTCCTCAAACACTCCCAGCAGGGACCGCGTCTACACACGAAACACAAAATAAAACTGATGAAAATAAAGTTAATGCTAATCATTTGACCGAGCCATAAGAATTCACCCGTTATGGTCTCAAATGATCCTTTGTGTATCTGCCAAAATAACCAAACCCACACATCTATGTAAATCAACACCGATGACCTGCATACAGCACAGTAACATTTCCAGGGTGTGTCTCAAATGCAGTTTTAGCTTGCCAGCACACTCATCTGCCATTGTCAATTTATAATAGCAACGGTGATATTTGTAATAATTTCAAAAGGTTTCCTATGCTAGAATGTAACCAATTACATTTGTTCAAGCAATATAATTACTGTTACTGTTTACGTACTGCTAGAAATAGTAAGTACGGCAAGAGATTTTTAAACTTAAAGATAGAAAGATTGTGTTTACTTAAGCAAGAGAAGAGAACTACCTTAATAATATACATATTTATATATATATTATTCAGTTATATAGAACCCTTTAAAACAGGATTACAAAGTGTTCACAAACACACAAATCATGAAAAAAGAATAAACCAATTCCTTACACGGCGATAACAAGAAACACATCCAACAACCCAAACAAAGTTTTTAATTTAATTTTCAAATGTACCTCTATTGTATCTCTTAATCTGGTTGAGATGTGATGAACAGATGTATACATATAAGTTAATTAAAATTGAGTTAACGTAATTATCAAGAGAGATAGTGATTAAGTGTAATGTTTTAGCATATAATATATGAATCTGTATTTACTGATCAAACCTTTCAGGTGGATCAGAATCTGGACACACCCCCACTAGTGATGGCACAGCAGGTGTTTGCTCTGTATTTTCTGCAGGACACAACAGCATGATTTGGGGTGTTTAACCCAAATTAAAGCAGCTATATCTTTATGCACCTTGTGACTTTAATAACATAAAGCATCATGATGACACAGCTGCTTTATATTAGCTGAGCAGTTACTATCAACGCAATGAAGGGAAAAGCGAGCCAAGATGCTAAGGAAGTAGCCGCCTGCTATTTAGAAATCCTACGAGTAATCTTAATGTAAAGCGAAATTACGTGTTGACATCTTTACGGAAACCACCACCAGCTGATCGGTGTAGCCGCCCGGGTCTGGCCCTTTATATATACAGTCTATGGTCTGACCCGAAGCACATCTGCAGTGTATCCGCCTGACAGCTCTGTCAGCGGGGCCGTTAGCATTTAGCTTTCTGCCCAAACTTGGCATCTCTTTGCTGGTTTTGTTGGCAAACACTGAGCCTACAAAGACAGTTAGCCTAGCCGTTAGCATGCTAGCTGAAAGCCTCCAGAGAAGAGAGCCGTTACCTGCGGGCTGTCCTCCAACGTCTCCTCTATCGGAAGCTTCTCTATCCCGGGCATGGCTGCGGCTGGCGCGGTAGTAATCTGTGCTTATACGATACAAAAGACCCAAGAAATCAGTTCCGACAACTCCCACTCAAGATTTCTTGGCTGCACGAACACCCCAAAACAGCTCATCCCCGTTTCTCAAGCCCCGCCCTCTGGATGGTTTTGATTGGATACGAAAAGATTCCACGGTTTTGATTGGTATCTTGTTTAAAGGGGAAAAGGCGCCATTTTGGCTCTGACCAGGATCGCCCTTTTACTATGACCGTGTACAACTAAGAGCCACAATGGCAGCCGTTGCTTAGTTTGTCATACTTTTTTTTCTATACAATTTGGTTATTTAAGCTTTTAAAGTTACTAAAGCCTTTTTTTCCTCACACTTTTTGTTGTGGGATTGTATTACTTGCTATTATACATGTCAAGCAGAGTTATTTACTTTTTATTAACTACACATTTTCACACTTAAAGGATAATAGGGACTAAAGCACAAAAAACAACACAATTATGAGGTCATGGAATGATGAGTGAATCAAAACAAATTTGCCTAATTGAACCCTAGCCTATTAGCCTTTTATTTGTTGATACAAATGTTTCAAAAAGCTTGAATTAGCTATATACAATACAACCAATTGCTAACATTATTTGATTTGGAAGATAAATGATGCACTCTGGGTCCAATCTGTGAATAAAATGTTGATCAAACTGGTCTGGTTTGATTGTCAGCCTCAATACACTACACTATCAAATGTATTTTAATATACTGTATTTATATAATTATTGTTGTTATATATTGTAGTACATGATTCTGATTATAAATATAGGTATAAAACAAATAATAAATCTAATGTACAACATGAACAACACTGTAATGCAGATAAGTTTTCTTTATTTTTGTTAAATGTCATGGCTGAGGTTCAGAAGGATGCTCCTGGAGTTTCCTCCAAGTTAGGGAGTGTCAGAGGACCACGAGGGAACAAGTCCTCCGCCATGCTGTTAAGTCCTTGCAGAACACAGCAGCTCAGGCCGCTGCGGGGCGTCTCCACGAAAGAGACGTAATACCACATACCGGCTTCGTCGTCATAGCGGTTCACATCCAACATAGTGGACGAGCCACTGTGTCCTCCCACCAAAAAGAGCTGGTCGTCCACCACCTCAATGTCAAAGTAGCTGCGGGGATCATGCATAGATGGTGTGAAGTTCCAACTGTTGGTTTCAGGGTTGTAGGCCTCAACAGTGTGCAGGGAGAGATCCACGTTCATTGTTCCACCAACCTTGAAGAGAGAGTGTGGAATGGTCAGTGTTTAGATCATTTCATTAGTACATGAACAAGTCTTTCATTCAAACCCTTACTAAAAGGTAGGGCTGGGCCTGGGAATATGAAACATTTCAAATATCACAATATTTTTGAACAAAAATCCATGATATCAATATTGTGATGATAGTGTAGTTTTGGTGGAGCTCATAGGACTGACAAGTAATGCGACGTATATCAATATTGTGATATGGGACTTAATGGCGTCTTTAATTGTGGATATAATATGGTAAGTGTTTGTCTTTTCCTCGATTAAAGGCTGCCTTTTAGTAAAGTCAGTCAATAAACCAATATAACTGATGATTATTTATAAAAAATGTAATATTCAAAATGTCACATTTTTTGCCTTACATGGCATCAGTTTCTCTGTGACACTCCGTAATAGTACACATGCACAACTTCACATTCAAAGTGCTACCCTTCAATGGTACATTTACATTAATAAGAAGTGGATTTATGACCACTCGATGTTCTACTGGTCCAACCAATTCAACACCAAAAATAATCTTTGGTAAATGTTTGCACATCTCTAACGGTGCCACTCCAACAATCAAAGCATATTACTGCCTCACACTTACTGCATAGATGCGGTTTCTGTAGGCAGCGACCCCCAGGCCACTGCGGCTGGTCCTCATGGCAGAGATCAGGGTCCACTGGTTGAAATCTGGGTCGTAGCATTCAGCTGTGGAGAGGCTTCGATGCCCGTTATAACCCCCGCAAACATACACCTGCAGACAGGCTTGAGAATGTTACATTTAATATGTATTCCACTACAATTACAGTCAAAATGAACGTGTAAGTAAAACACGTTTTACATTGCTATGGTCAGTAAAGGCCTACACTGCATGCAGAATGTTTACTTCTATTTTGATGGTATATGTTTTTCTTTGTAGAAAAAACGGTTTGGTTGAGTGTTTGTTTATCAGGGTTTTAAAAAACGACTGTGCCTGATTTTGGTCAAACTTGTTGAAAGGGTGGGGCATGCACTAAGGAAGAACCCACTCAATTTGGGGTTGGAACCAAAACACAAAATAATATTTTTTCCCTTTTATAAAGATTTGAGGCCCTTCTGGGAGATCTGCACTCTCCAAGTATCCAGACAGTTTCAACAAACTGACTTTATAAAGCAATATCTATCTGAATTCTGTTTACATAAGTCAACTTGTTAACGACTGGTCATACTAGACCAAGTAAGGCTACTTTTTTTACAACTCTTGAGTGTATTGAACTAAACAAGCATTCAACCACTCTCGCAGTTTCCTACATCAATCTCTACGTACTAATCAGGGCACATCTACACATTTCAACCCACGTTTATAACATCAATAATTTGGCTAGCATGGACATTACTTCAGACTTAATAATGAAGTGAAAACAATGTGCAAATTAATTCTGATTATCAGGATTAATTGACAATGTACCTTGCAAGGTCATTGCTAGTTTCTGCTTCACCCACCTTGCCATTTAGAGTGGTGGCGCCAGCCCCACTCCTCCTTGAGTGCATCTGTGCCACCATGGTCCAGCGGTCATTCTCAGGCCTGTAGCACTCGACAGTGTTAAAGCAAGTCACTCCATTGTATCCTCCAATGGCGTAAATGCACTCATTATGCACAACAACACAGACGTAGCCGCGACAGAAGTTCAAGGGGACCACCTGGTGCCACGTGCGAGTCACAAGGTCAAACTTTTGCACAGTATTCAGGTAAAGCTCAGTGCAGATGCCTCCGATTAAGTACACAGCGTTGTTGAGGACTGCAGCACCGTGGTAAGCACGACGGATCTGACCAGCGCTGACAGTGACCCAGCAGTCAGCGCGGGCATCGTACGCCTCGAGGTCGGTGGCGTGCACACCGTCTCCTTCGCCTCCGGTGACCAATAAGATGGTGGAGGGCAGGCGGGGTCGACTCAGCATATTTTTGTAGATGGATTTTGAGTATCTACTAAAATTCAGAGAAACTTTCAGGGCCTCATCGAGGATGGGAAAACATTTGATGCTGTTCCTCACCACATTGTTGTCCATCACATTTTGGAGGTAATAAACGTTCATCAAGCCTAGCCGCACCTGGACACATAAGAGAACAACACTTAGAAACGTATAATGAGTACAAGAACATTTGAGTGTAACCTTTTTTTTACAAAAATAAATGGTTATGGAGTTTTCTTTATTTTATAGTTCAATACTTTTTTTATCTTTTATTATATTATATTTTTGAAGCGAACTATTTAGAGAAAATGAACATTCTTTGAATTTCTTATTATAATATTAAGTTTATTAATATTTGTTTTTATTGTTTTAAATGCATATTCAAATGTATTTAATGCATTATGTTTATCGAATTAGAGTGTGTAAGCGAGGGTGCTAGAGTGTTTGAAAAACAAACAAAAAACATCAAGAGAGAAGAATAAAAGAATGAATTAATAAAAACATTTAAACATTAAATACATAAATGGATGAATACATAAATAAATAAATAATAGAGTGCAGGAAAAATGGAGCTTCTAATAAATGCCTTGTTTTTGTTTTTTTCCTTTACCAAATTGTGGGCTGTTTTTGTACAAATTAAACCCAATTGGTTTTGAAGAAATTAAACCCCCGCTGTGTCAATCTGAATACATCTAGATTATTGTTTAGTTACCTTGGACAGCAGCTCAGAGATGTGACCATTTCTCTGATCTGGCTGGTAGTTAATCCAGCTGAGGATCGCCTCAAACACTGTGTACTCCTCGCTCACGTTGAGGTGGTCGCTCTCAATAATGGTGGTCAGCTGCTCAATAGAGAGATTCACAAGCTCCTGGGAGACAGACACTATCTCCTTAAAGCTGTGCAGGATGTAGAGGAAGACTTTTTTACTCTGTTCCGGCATGTAGTAGACACTCATCAGCTTCCAGATGCCGATGCAGTTCCTCGGGGACAGCTGGTCCTCCAGGAAGAACCAGCAGCTCTGAACCAACCCCGTCACCAAGAGCTGGTCTGCAGCTGCCAAAAGCTCCACCACGTTATCCTCCGTCACAGGAGCAGAGTTGGTGTAGGCATAGTTGATGATGAGGCTCATCATCTCAGACGACACCCCGGGGATGGTGTACTTCTGCTTTTTGATGGATGCCCAGGGTCCGGTAAGGAGAGCGCTGTGGGATCAGGGGATCAGGGTTTTAGAAAGGAAAATACGTAACAGTCTCATAATAAGTAGACCTTTTGGAAAAATCAGTCACAGATCTGCTCTTCATAGATAAATGACTGAGTTGATTATTGATCATCAACCCATGCGCTTCTACTGCGACTTGGCTTATGAAGTCTTGTGAAAGTTGCCATTTCTATAGCACTTGAATAGGGTATGGCCTATCTGAAGCTAAGTCTCAGGATTCTTTCTATTCGGAGTTTGTATACTCGTGGTTGAGTGCATTTAGTGTAAGTCCCTTTGGATGACTATCAGCTTAATGAAAATGAATTATTTTTCAAAGCTAAATTATGACAAAGAATTTTTAAGACCAATCATCAGCTCATGATGATCAGCTGGACGCGCACCATACGATGAGTGGTAGTGACAATACTTGTCAGCAGCAAAATAAATCTGGAGGCACTGCTTACTTTGCCTTTTCTTTCTTACATCTTTTTCTCGTATTTTTTCTATCTTCTGAAAGAGTGAATTGATTTAGCCCCACAGGCATCTAAATCATTCCAAATAAAATGTGTTTGTGGAGTAATCACAGTTTCTTTACCATGTGCAATCAGTGTGACAAGTAGACACTTTGTTGAAGCAAAACAAACAGGGACATAAAAGACATTAGTTTCAAATGTATTGTTATCACATACTACACTGAGAAAACTCAA